TTCGACGGTCTCCCACTTGGAAGTGTTGGTGTAGTATGTGCGATGCAGCGTCAGGGAGGCTGGGTAACCGAAGAGGGCGTTCTTGGTCGAATCGTTGTCGTCAGCTCTGGAGACGATGTCCACGAAGGCAGAGATGCCGTTCTTGACCAATTCACCAGCCACGATGAGGAGGTCCAACGTGGTGTTGGCCGACCGAATGGCTTTGAACGAGTCCTCGAGGGGAGTCAGGCCGAGCGACGATAGAGTAACCGTGTCCAAACAGGAGTTGTAAAACTCGCCAAGCTTGGGCTTGTTGTCAGATAAAATCTTCTTCAAGACGGCTTCGTTTTGGACGTAGATCTTGGTGAACGACGGATCGATACTGTGACTGTCCGGGGGTATCACAGCATCCTTGTACCACGCGCCACACGCGTATTGGTAAAAGTCGTCGCAGGGGTTGATGGAGTAGTCGATGAGCTTGGTCACAGACTCGGGGAGTTCCGTGACGGAGCCAGCCGTAGCGGCAGCGGCCAACACGCTGAGGGAGATGAGGACTTTGACCATCGTAGAGCAAAACGGAAAATGAAGTTTGGCTAAAAATGTCGACCAAAAATGTCGACCATTGAAGTGAAGACCAGGCGTGCAAGTCGTCCAACGCAACCAACCGGATTCCCATAAGGAATACCAAGGTGTCTGCATCCACCAACCCATCTCGACGAAATACTGTAAAGTCGGCATATGGAATAGAGTACTCGTAGACGTACCAGGTAGTTAGTTGTGATTGGCCTTCGTCAGGAATTAGTTCCAGTCGTATGGTGCCCTCCATCTGTATACTACCCATTGGCGAATTCGAACTGTCACGTTTTGTACTTCGAAGTACTACTTACTGATAGCGTTAGAAGAGTAGTACAAAGTGATTTGGGACGGAGTGGTACCTAATTGGCTGAAATAATTGTACTTTGAACCAGTCATTTACGTTGAGTTGATACTTTCCGCATGTCCATTATCCAGACAAATATTGTCTGGACTGTGGTCACTTTGAAGTGTGGGAGGGCAAAACAGTGGATGACTTTCAAGATGAACAAGGTAAAGGAATGCAGTGGTGCATTGCAAGACGTGAGGATTCATAGGTTCGTGCTCAACTACTACTAGTACAGCATAACTGCGACTACCGCTGCTAACTTTGCACACTCGTATTCCTTACCCCATGTGGTGGGAAAAGCTCAGGTGGTAGAGCATCGGTTTCTTTACTCAAAGGTCGTGGGTTCGATCCCCATTATTCGCAAGGATTTATCCGTTCCTCCTGGGGAATCCGGATAACAAGGGCCGCGTACGAAGACGAGGACCGAACTTCGAAGAAGATTGGGTAGAAGGACGAGGTATGAAGCGTTGAGCGAAGTAAAAACCGAAGATTACACACCGCCTCTGGTTGAGCAGGCGCGTTACAACAGGCCATTTTTTGGTCGTCCATCCGGGGGAGTACAGCGCTATGTACCTCCATCTGTTGGATGAGACATGCAAGAGTGACGAAATGATTGATGATTCAACGAGATTCGTTACCTCATGGAGACAGAGTAAATACTACAGTAGTACCGCGAAGGATACTACTACGTAGTAGTATACTCCCTCCGTTCCAAAATAAGTGCGCGAGTTTT